TTTAAGAAAAACCATGTCACTTACTGTTCTCAAACTTACAGGAAAGAAACATGGGACTGAAATACAGCTTCAGTAGGCAATGCAGTCTGTTTGGTAATTCTTACTGCCAGTTAAACAGTTTTTTTTTTTGTGAAAATTTAATTTTGTACATATTGGCATTTTCAAGGTGTGACTTTGAAGTTCTACGGGCTTGAAGACCCATGCTAGTCACATTTGCTGAAAAGCCATGATACGTATATATTTTTTTATTAAAAATTGACGGTCATAATGCTATTAACCATTATGTAATATTGCATCAGAATAGAAGAAAACACAATTTTGGGTGTTGCCAACATGATGACCATTATGGGAAAACCATGTTACTTATGATTGCCAAACTTTCAAAAAAGAAATACAGGACTAAAATGCAGCCTGAGTTGGAAAAGCAGTCTAATTGGCTTCTTTTTCTGGAAGTTATACGTTTTCATAGTGTGAACTTGAACTCCCATGGGCCTGAAGCCTTATGCTTGTTACACATTTTACTTACATTAGTATTACCTGTTGAGCATAATTAAAATTTGATTTTGAATTTGCAGTTTAACATAAAGTACTTTTGCATCAGAATTGACAGTAGCCTATTTTGTGCATAGTTATTTCCTGATTTTTGTCTGTACATTTGACAGCTTTGCTGCCTTGTTTTCATAAAATCCCAAGATATGCTATCAAATGCTTTAAGGAAATCTACTGAGAGTATCATTCCTGGGATTTTTTTATCTTTTGTAATTTGCAAAACATCATAAACAATTCTAGTATTCTCACCAATGAACCGTCCTTTCAAAAATCCCATTTGATTTTCATGTATAAGCAAATGTAAAACTTTTTTTAATCTATTCGAAATACAAGCAGAGAGGATTTTATATGAGATGTTTAAGAGAGATATCGGCCTCCAATTTTCTAAGAATTCCCGTGGTTTATCCCCTTTGGGTAAAATTGAAATAACCCCTTGTTTCTGGGTAATGGACAAGTGACCTTTAGCAAACCCATTATTATATGATCTCACAAGAAAAGTTCCTATATCATTCCAGAAAAATTAAAAAAATTCGACAGAAAAACCGTCGGGGCCGGGTGATTTATTGTTCTTCATACTTTTTAAGGCTATTAATGCTTCCTGCTAAGTAATTGTTCCCTCTAATTGCCTAGCCGTATTGTCATCTAATATGTTTATTTTGTCTTTATCGATTATATTGTTCCAATCAAAAATTTCAGAATGGTTATCTTGTTTCGAGTAAAGATGGTTATAGAAATCTCTTATTTCTTTCAAAATTTCTGCTTGATTGGTAATAATACAGCCTGTCCCCCTTATAATTTTCTTTACAGTTTTATTTACAAAATTTCTTTTTTCCAGGGATAAAAAATATTTAGTTGTTTTTTCCCCTTCCTCTGACCATTTTACTTTGGTTCTTATATAGACCCCTCTAATATGTTCATGTCTCATTTCTTCTTCCTCTAGTTTCAGAGTCTGGTTTTCTAAATTCGATGTGGGGTTATCTGTATACATGGAATATAATTTCTTAATTTTTTTCAGCCAGGGTCTTCATTCTTATATTTTCTCCTTTTTCTTTGCTGAACTGTAAGCAATTGTATAGCCTCTAACCTGTAATAATATCTGTTCAAAAAATGCTTGCTCATCCACAAGAAGTCCAGATCATTGTCACTAATTTTACATAACTCTGCTTTGTTATATGGACTGGCACAATATTGATATTTAAGATCCTCTATTATTTTCTTTACTCCTCTCATATACTCAAAATCTTTTAGAAGGCTGTTGTTCATTTTCCAGAAACCTCTCCCTTTTTTCTGCTCAGAGAGAGTGAGTTTCAGGTGTATCATTGCGTGGTCTGTTCGGTATCCATAAGTTGTCTCCTTAAGCTCAAATTTTACCAAGAGCATACCTTTCTCTCAAAAAGGGCAGTTTGTTTGACCCAATAACCCTAGTTAAGTCACTTAAAAAATGTTACCTGTCCATTTCCTGTATGTTCTGACTGGCCATTGGTCAGACCGGCTGCATTTTGATCAGAGTCAGGAATGCTTTGACCTGTAGCTGGTTTTTGTGCCAAGTGCAGCTGATATAGACCATTTTGCTGGTCAGCCATCTGAAATCTGTAAGAGGCAGCAACATTATCATTTTCTTTTATAACCTCCAACAAGTAGGTTGTTTTTGTTACCATTTTTTTTGTCTGTGGCAACATTGGCGAGTGTAACACAGAAGGTAATGGATAGACTTTGATGAAATTTTTGAGGATAGGTCACAAATGGACCTAGAAAGAAAGCATTATATTGATGATCCATCAATTATTTAACGGTTAATTATTTGCTAGTTAACCATTTGTTAAGCTTCAAAAGGTTAGTTATTAATTAATTGTTAATTATAACTTATAAATTAATTGGAGTAGGTTTGCATTCTGAGTGCTCTTGTTAATATTGTGGCAATAATTTGATTTTCTGCAACTATATATATATACCCAACTTGTCAATGAAATATGTTTGTGTAACATACCCCAGTATGTACATGATAGTTTCATTCTTGTACAATATTTTGAGCAGGTTGATAGCTTATTCCTACTTAAGCAGTAATACTCACTTTTGCAGTCTGTCCCCTTCATTTCTGGTCTGTGCTTTATTCTGATCTTCCAGTATATCAAAATACAAGACCTTTTGAAATAAAAATGATTTAAGATTTAATAAGGAGATTGATGATGGTGTGTGAAGATATAAAATACTGGAATGTGTATTTAGGTAATGTATGTACGTGTGACTGTTCAATTTCTGTTTTGCAGTAGCGAGTTAATTGAAGATGTTCATGAACACCATGACGGAAAGCCATGATGACAGATATTATTCAAAATTAAAAACTGTAGTCTGATTGGATTATTTTTTCTTGAGGTTAACTGATGTTTTACTGTGTATTAATGTATTAATTTAAATATAAATGATAGGTTAATTTATGTTTGGGATAAAACATTTCATGCTGTTATTTACTTATATTACATACCTGATCAGGCTGAGCTGCAGCTTCAACAGTTTCTTCCCTTTGAGTCTCTTTATTTTCACCGGCGCTTGAACTTAAGCAAAAATGAGAAAAAAGAGGATGTATTAAAGAATAGGGCAGATTTGTTGACAGGTAGTTGTTTGAAATTATCCACTCTTGTCTGGATTAATTGAAATGTACTTTAAGCTAATATTTATGATAATTTTGTACTGGGAGAGTGTATATATGAATGCTGACAGTTCTTTCTGACTTTTTCAGTATAGTGCATATGATACTCACCTTTGCACTCTCTCCTCTTCATTTCTGGCCTGGCCTACATTCAACTGGATATCAACATAAGAGGGCTATTGAAATAAAAAGGTAAATTTAAATTTAGCTTCAATGAAGCTCACATAAATGTGTGAAGATGTTCTATGTGGGATTGTTTATTTTGGTTATACTTGTATCGATATTTGTTTATCATTGCAGTTATTCACTTGGAAACCTTTAATATTTTATATTTATTATGATTGTAACAGTAATAAAAGGTATGATTATCATAGTAGATAAATCAAATGGTGACGTTTGTTGGATTTAGTTGCAATAATTTGAAGTTAACTCTAGATATATATCTTCTTAAAAGTTCTCAGTAACCTCACTAAACTAATTATATTCCATTCAAGTGGATGGAAAAATTAAAGGACTTGACTATAGGCATACAGATGTTCTTAATGCTTTGAGTGTTTCTACCATATATGCAATAATGTGACAGGGGAATTTATTTAACAAGCTACATTGCCAACTGTCTTTGTGAAAAAATAAGGTCATTGTTTTAGATGGTTAAAAAGAAAAAAAAAAATCCCTGAAACTTCCAACTATATTCTCGTGAAGATTATGAATACCTTAATTACAAGAATGAATGGGCTCATAAAATAAATATCAATTGATTGCTCTTCGAGAGAAGTTTTGGCACAAAAATCAATGCAATGTTTTTTTTCATTTTTTTTTCTACATGTACAAGTGGTATTCATCTTATAAATTCTGATTGGTTCAAAGCATTATAATGACTTGCTCTAAGGGTGCATTCAGAACAATTTGATCCATGTACAAACGTAAGCAGATCTTATATGTCCAAACTTCTTTAAAAAAACAATAATAACATCCCCTAATAGACAATGAGAAGATTCCCTGGGATAGTGAACCCGTTAATTGGTCAGCTATATTTGATCTGCTGATTTGTTAGTCCATAACATTTTTTAGGCGGGTTTATCTGATGACTTTTTTTGAACCAATTGACAAAAGGCATGTTTTTGGTATGTCTTATATCTGCACATTTCAGTAAGACCAGGCCCGTAGTCATGTAACTATACTGAAAGGAGTGGGGGTTCATTTTCTGAAAAAGTAGACCATTTACCATGAAGTTCATAAACACCATGACAGAAAGCCATGATGATACAACAGTGATTGCGAAAGCCGTCGGACCACGGCCATATGCCAGCAAAAATTCTGGGGCTGGAAAACCCTTTTAACTCATCGGCCCACATGTCCGACGGACTAAAGTCGGTTTCCTTAACAGACACCTCGCCTCATATTTAAATATATCGTAAAGCTCTAAGTACGCACTGTGCGCAAGTAAAACTTTAACCTGCACCCGATGGCACGTACAAATAGCAAACACTATTTTTTGTAATAATTTAAAGGTCTACGTACATTATGATGTTGCTCGAAGTGTGCGTAGCGATGGTGTGAGGGCTGACATGTGACCCGTTTCACAAAAAATGTATCGAAACTGAAACAACTACAGGTCAATGAAAAACGTACTGCTCAAGACTCTGAAAACAGGCCGCTCAAACTGCTTACGATTGGCCACGCGCGGACCTATGAGAACACCTAACTACACGTGCTGGATAAACAAGTATGGCTTCCGTCGGACTGCATGTTGAATAATCGATAAGTGAAAAGGAGAAATATTCATTTGCTTTTTAGATGGGTGCTCTTAACTAATTTTAACGGATATTTTAAGTAATATTGCACCTTTAGCGGTGCTATAGCCTATGTCAAAATGAGGGACAACATCATTTTCAATGCGGAAAATCTGCAGTGGCACAGTCAGGATGCAAAACTGTCCATTATATTCATCTAAACGAACTAGCTTAGATATTGAATAAAAATTCTTTTCAGACTCTGGCCCGTAGCCAGGAATGGTTCAGGGTTTTCGGACAACCGCCTCTTATGCTGACAAAAGGTTCACTCTTGGTAAAATTTAATCTAGGTACATGGCGTTTTTATGGAAAAAGACCCTCCCCCCTTTTAAAATTGCTGGCTACGGCCCTGAGATATGAGAGCAATAGCTTTATTTAACAATAAAAATGGGATTTGTCTACCTTTTCCATATAGTGCAATTATTTGGCATAGTATGATTATCAATTCTGAAGATTTTTCCATTAAGTACAATTTTTCGGACAGTATGTTTATTTTGGAAGATTTTTCCACACACTACAATTATTTAGGACTTCAGATTAGTAGCATCAAGCCTTTTTTCATTGTTTTTAATCATATGAAAAATATTGAAATACAATGGATTTTCTTTAAATAATTCACGGCACACATTTTAAAAAAATGGCCCACTCTTTTTGACCAAGTGGACCAAAATGGCCCGACCAGATTTTGACCCAGGACAATCCCTGCTAACAGACAAGCATTTTTCCAAGAGTGGAAACCTAAAAAAAGTTAGAAAAGTTGGAAGCTCCACTTCACTATGACTTATGTTTTAATTTTAGTCAAAAATTGGAATAAAATTTACAAAGGATACATGATTTTGTGTTAAAAGATTAGAAATTAAGATAAGCAACCCAGACGTAAAAAGGATAAAACTTAAATGCCAGAAAGCAACCAAAATGAAAGACGTTTAAATTTAAACCTTTAAATATCCTATTACATCTGGCCTGAAAATTAAAAAGGAGCAATTTAAAATGGCAGACAATAATATTCATCAAAAATGAAGTGAAAATATACAGCTTGATTATTTTGTTGTGGTCCGGTAAAAAAAGGTGTGGGCTGACAAAATATAAGTTGCTTCAGCCCACATGTCTGGTAAGTGTTCAGTCTCTTTCGCAATCACTGTACAAGTTGACAGACATTATTCAAAATTAAAAACTGTAGTCTGATACTAATCTGATGATTAGGGGCAATTGACCTGGATTTTCATTCCAGGTGAAATGACCCTAGTCATTTACTCCCTGATGATGGTGACTGACAGTCACAGAAATATTGGAGGTAATACCCACATATTTTACAAGCTCTTGATAAAAAGAAAAACAGTAATTTGAATTTATACATACAGAGCTAATGAAACTGTTCTCTCATGTAGTCTGATAGGATTATTTTTTCTTGAGGTTAACTGATGTTTTACTGTGTATTAATGTATTAATTTAAAAATAAATGATAGGTTAATTTATGTTTGGGATAAAACATTTCATGCTGTTATTTACTAATATTACATACGTGATCAGGCTGAGCTGCAGCTTCAACAGTTTCTTCCCTTTGAGTCTCTTTATTTTCACTGGCACTTGTACTTAAGCAAAAATGAGAAAAAAGAGGATGTATTAAAGAATAGGGCAGATTTGTTGACAGGTAGTTGTTTAAAATTATCCACTCATAACTGGATTAATTGAAATGTACTTTAAGCTAATATTTATGATCATTTTGTACTGGGAGAGTGTATATATGAATGCTGACAGTTCTTCCTGACTTTTTCAGTATAGTACATATGATACTCACCTTTGCACGCTCTCCTCTTCATTTCTGGCCTGGCCTACATTCAACTGGATATCAACATAAGAGGGCTATTGAAATAAAAAGGTAAATTTTAGCTTCAATGAAGCTCACATAAATGTGTGAAGATGTTCTGTGTGGGATTGTTTATTTTGGTTATACTTGTATCGATATTTGTTTATCATTGCAGTTATTCACTTGGAAACCTTTTATTTTATATTTATTATGATTGTGACAGTAATAGGAGGTATGGTTATCATAGTAGATAAATCGAATGGTGACGTTTGTTGGGTTTAGTTGCAATAATTTGAAGTTAACTCTAGATATATATCTTCTTAAAAGTTCTCAGTAACCTCACTAAACTAATTATATTCCATTCAAGTGGATGGAAAAATTAAAGGACTTGACTATAGGCATACAGATGTTCTTAATGCTTTGAGTGTTTCTACCATATATGCAATAACGTGACAGGGGAATTTATTTAACAAGCTACATTGCCAACTGTCTTTGTGAAAAAATAAGGTCATTGTTTTAGATGGTTAAAAAGAAAAAAAAAAAATCCCTGAAACTTCAATTATATTCTCCTGAAGATTATGAATACCTTAATTACAAGAATGAATGAGTTCATAAAATAAATATCAATTGATTGCTCTTCGAGAGAAGTTTTGGCACAAAAATCAATGCAATGTTTTTTTTCATTTTTTTTTCTACATGTACAAGTGGTATTCATCTTATAAATTCTGATTGGTTCAAAGCATTATAATGACTTGCTCTAAGGGTGCATTCAGAACAATTTGATCCATGGACAAACGTAAGCAGATCTTATATGTCCAAACTTCTTTAAAAAAACATTAATAACATCCCCTAATAGACAATGAACCCTGGGATAGTGAACCCGTTAATTGGTTAGATATATTTGATCTGCGGATTTGTTAGTCCATAACATTTTTTAGGCGGGTTTATCTGATGACTTTTTTTGAACCAATTGACAAAAGGCATGTTTTTGGTATGTCTTATATCTGCACATTTCAGTAAGACCAGGCCCGTAGTCATGTAACTATACTGAAAGGAGTGGGGGTTCATTTTCTGAAAAAGTAGACCATTTACCATGAAGTTCATAAACACCATGACGGAAAGCCATGATGATACAAGTTGACAGACATTATTCAAAATTAAACTGATGTTTTACTGTGTATTAATGTATTAATTTAAAAATAAATGATAGGTTAATTTATGTTTGGGATAAAACATTTCATGCTGTTATTTACTAGTATTACATACGTGATCAGGCTGAGCTGCAGCTTCAACAGTTTCTTCCCTTTGAGTCTCTTTATTTTCACTGGCACTTGTACTTAACCAAAAATGAGAAAAAAAGAGGATGTATTAAAGAATAGGGCAGATTTGTTGACAGGTAGTTGTTTAAAATTATCCACTCATGTCTGGATTAATTGAAATGTACTTTAAGCTAATTATATATTTATGATCATTTTGTACTGGGAGAGTGTATATATGAATGCTGACAGTTCTTTCTGACTTTTTCAGTATAGTACATATGATACTCACCTTTGCACTCTGTTCCCTTCATTTCTGGCCTGGCCTACATTCAACTGGATATCTACATAAGAGGGCTATTGAAATAAAAAGGTGAATTTTAGCTTCAATGAAGCTCACATAAATGTGTGAAGATGTTCTGAGTGGGATTGTTTATATTGGTTATACTTGTATCGATATTTGTTTATCATTGCAGTTATTCACTTGGAAACCTTTTATTTTATATTTATTATGATTGTGACAGTAATAGGAGGTATGATTATCATAGTAGAAAAATCAAATGGTGACATTTGTTGGGTTTAGTTGCAATAATTTGAAGTTAACTCTAGATACATCTTCTTTAAAGTTCTCAGTGATCTCACAGAAGGAACTACTGCATATTCCATTCAAGTGGATGGTAAAATCAAAAGACTTGACTGTAGGCATACAGATGTTTTTAATATTTAGAGTGTTTAAATTTCTACCATATATGCAATAACATGACAGGGGACTATTTTACAAGTTACTGTACATTGCCAACTTTCTTCGTGAAAAAATAAGGTTATATAGAAAAAAGAAATAAAATCCTGAAATTTCAACCATTTTCTCATGAAGATCATGAATACCTTATAAGTCAAATGAATGGGCTCAGAAAAAAATATAAATTGATGGGTCTTTGACATCAGTTTTGGGGTAAAAAAGCAATTAATGCAACTTTTTGTCATTTTGATTTATCATCATTTCTGTGCTACAAGTGGTATTTATCGTATAAATTCTGATTGGTTCAACTTGCTCAAAGGGTGCATTCAGAACAAGTTGATCCACAGATTAACAGGCCAGTGGATCTTAAATGGTCAACCCACCTAAAAGCTTAATAACATCCTCCAATAGACAATGACAAAATTTCCTCTGTAACCTTTTAAGTGGGTCGGCCATATTTGATCTGCATATTAGCTAGTCTTATATATATATATATATGGTCTTTTTCTTAAAATTTAGTATAAGGGTTCTTTTGAGAACTTTTTTTTTGTTAGTTTTTTTTTAACCCATTGACCAAAGGTGCATGTTTTTGGGATGTTCTATTACTGCACATTTCAGTAAGACTTATATAGGCATTTAGCCAATTATTTTAAAGGGGGTAAGGGTTATTTTTCTGAAAAAGTGAACCATTTGCTATGAAACCTTTTGTGTACTTATTCAAATTTAGCAAAAGCAGCAGACATTTTAAAAAGGGCAGCTGTTTTTTTACACTCCCTCCCAAATGTTACCTGTCCATTCCCGGTTTGTTCTGACAGCCCAATGGCCAGACCGGCTCCATTTTGATCAGAGTCAGGAATGTTTTGACCTGCAGCTGGTTTTTGTTCCGCGTGCAGCTGATATAGACCATTTTGTTGGTCAGCCCTCTGAAATCTGTAAGAGGCGGCAACATTATCATTTTTTATTACCTCCAACAAGGAAGTTAGGTTTTTGTTACTATTTTTTTTTGTCTAATTGATAAAATTTGATGAGATTGATTTTCCAGGATAGGTGACAAATAGACCAAGAAAGAAATGATGATGGTAATTGTCTATCAATTTATGATTTATTATCAGCTTATTAATCATTTGTTAAATAATGAAAGGTTATTTATTAATATTGTGGCAATAATTTGATTTTCTGCAACTATACTCAACTTGCCTATGAACAGTTGGTTTATTGAACATATTTTACCAAGCCCACTGCTATGCCTAAAGGGAAATGTTTGTGTAGCATACACCAGTATTCATATAATTATAATAGTTTCATTCTTGTACAATATATACATTAGTATAGCAGGTTGACATTCCCACTTATATATATATATATATATATATATATACATATAAGCAGTGATACTCACTTTTGCACTCTGTCCCCTTCATTTTTGGTCTGTGCTCCATTCTGATGTAAATTTAAACACGAAGCCTTTTGAAATAAAAAGGATTATAGGTTTAATAAATTTGTTCACATTGGTGCATGCGTGAAGATGTATTTAGGCAACGCATGTATCTGGATCTGTTTGAATTCTGTTTTGCAGTTACTTACTGAAGTTTGTGAACACCATAGTGGAAAGTCGTGTAACAAACTGACAGAAATTACTCTGATTGAAACCAGCCTGATTTGAACAATTTTCTTTAAGTTAATTATGTTTCCTGTTAATGAATATATTAGTGATGGGTGAATTAATATTTTGAAGGTAAAACTTATCATCCTTATTTACTTAACATACCTGAGTTAAAGCTTCATCATGTTCTTCACTTTGAGGCTCTCTATTTTTGCCATTACTTAAGCTAAAATGAGAAAAATGGGATATATTATATAGTAGGACAGATTTGATGACAGGTATAATTAATCCACTCATGTCTGGATAAACTGAAATGTAAACTAATACTAATGATTAGTTTGTACTGGGAGAAATTGGAGAATGTATAAATGAATGCTGACAGTTCTTCCTGACTTTTACAGTATAGTACATATATATGATACTCACCTTTGCACTCTGTCCCTTTCATTTCTGGCCTGGGCTCCATTCTGCTGTAAATCTACATAGGAAGGCTATGGAAATAAAGGGTAATTTTAGCTTTAATGAGGCTCACATTTTAATTAAAATGTGTGAAGAAGTTTTGTGTGGGGTTGTGTATTTGGAAATACCTGCATGTAACATGTGTGTCTGTCATTTGTTAAAATACCATTGCAGTAATTCATTACAAAGTTTGGAATTAAATATACCATACATGTAGTTCATACACAAATACTTTTAGTTCATACACAATCTGAAAGTATGTGCATGGAAGTTTTTGGTAGGGAGTAGCTGCAATAATTTGACGTTACCTCGAGACACATCTTTATGTTCTCAATGACAATGATCTCTCACAATGAACCATATTCCAGTCAAGTGGATGTAAAAAAGGACTTGACTATAGAGATACAGATGTATATGTATGTTTTGATAGTGACTACCATATACATGTACATGTTTATGCAATAAGGCGACAGCTAGGGAACTTTACAAGTTGTATTGATAAACCTCTTTGTGACTTATTGATTTAAATGGTTACATGTCCCCTCCCCTCGCAAGAAAAAAAAAAATTACCAGAAGCTTTATTCCATTTTTTTTCAAAAATATCAAAGGGACTATATAACCCATGATGCCTTCTTAATTTTTGGGGCAAGAGAGGGTCTTGTGAGGACTTATTTTGTAGTATTTTTAAAAAATATAAGAGCCCTTTGCTACAAAGGCCAATTTTGCTTAAGATAATGCCTCCATACATACATGTAGCATGTCTTTGGTATATTTTATTTCTGCATCTTTCACTGAGACTCGCTTAAGGTCATCTAAACAATCTTTACCTGTCCATTCCCAGTGTCTGTCCTATTTTGTTTTGATTGGCTATTGTTCAAACTGGCTTCACATTGCCCAGAGCCAGGAACTTGAGACTTGAGTGCCAAGCCCAGATGATCTTGTCCAACTTGTTGGTCAGTCATCTAAACTCTGCAAGATACAATGAAAATGTGAAAATTTTCTTTCTCTACAAAAGGTTATTCAGACATCAGAAATTTATAGCATTGATGGATTAATTTTTTTTTTTTTTTGTTGAACTATTGTTTAACAAGCTTACCTTACCATTAAAACATTATTGTTCAAGTTGTGTCACACAGTTATTAAGGTGAAAAATTGGAGTCACGTAATATTATCACATTTTAAATGTTAATTAGACGGCAGTCAGATATAAAGCTGGGTCGATCCAACTCTGAGGGGATCATTCTCACGTAATACTAAAGCTAGTTCAACCCACCAGGTGGATTTAGGCCGTCTTCTGGGTCTTCCGGAAGACAGTCAGATTTTCAAGTTTACATTGACAGGTATCTAATTTTTTCTGTCGGAAGACCGTCAAAAATGGAGGATAGATCAACAAAGATAATTTGGAAGACTTTCAGAAAATATCTCTGGATCCGCCCCTGCAACCCATGTAAATAGCAGAATTGTCTGACATTTCTCCCTGAGAAGCTAGGTGGTAATTATAGCTTTCTTGTGCACTAGCTCAGCTTAATTCCAGACTGGTTGCCCTCCCACGCCCCATCTTCTTGTTCAGTTATGATCTGTGGGCCCAAATGTAAATAGATTCCTTAACCCCTTAGTTAAACCTATGGGGTCATATGGTCCAAGATTTCTATGTCAGGCCTACCCAACTACCAGACTCGGCACCTAATTATCCTGAATTCACCAGTAGATTGGACCACACTACCCATTTTCAAGGTGTGTGTCAGTACGCACTTCGAAGTATCAGACGCGACAGCCCTCTTGCCTATAGTACCCGATGTCATAGCAATGGTTCTGAGCAGTATTGGAAAGTAGTGCAACTCATCTCAAAATTTGTTCCTGGGTATGATACTGTGAAATGTGTACTGATGCACACCCGTATATCAGGCTTATCCAACAATCAGATGTGGCACAGAAGTATCCAGAATTCACTGTAGATCGGAACATGCTACCGATTTTCAAGGTGTGTATCGATCAGTACGTACTTCGAAGTATCAGACACAGCATCCTCTCGCCTGGTACACGTGCCACAACTGATACTTTGAAGCAGGTACTGATACATTGTATATTGTTCCAATTGATGGGATGGTGCCTGGATATTGATGTGCCCTGAGACTTCAAATGTTTTGGCACAACAGGGACTTTGGTGTTCATGCACATTCAATCAACCCTTCAACAACCTCTCATTCTCAGGGTCAGATAGAGTTTGTCTTCTGGGTCTTCCTGAAGAAGGTCAGAATTTTTCAAGTTAACATTAACGGGCATCCAATTTTTTTTGTCAGAAGATGGAGGATGGATCAACAAAGGTAATTTGGAAGACTGTCAGAAAATATTTCTGGATTCGCCCCTGCATTCTCCTGAATATATATTTGGTGGCAACCTCTTATATCTGGGACACTGCTAAAGTGTACCCTCTACCAGGGTGGCAGATTATATAGGGAAAAATGGGAAAATCCATCCTGTTACTTTTGGCCAGATTGAAGCAATTAATAAAATCTGCCCGCACGCAGATAGCATTGTACCCACTCTGGAGGGAGCTACTGAGGAGATTTCTCAGTTAAAGTCAATATGTACTAGCAAGCTATTCAGAAGGCGCTTTTTTTTTGTCACTAAAAGGGAAGTGATTTAAATCAGAGCAATAAACTGTCTTAATTGATGTCAAAGGGACTTAGCCTGGGTCTGTTAGGGAGCATTCACATTGAGAAGAGTCGAGGTCTAGTAAGGCCGCAACGTAAATATCATGGACCTACATGAAAGGAAGACCGCTTATCTTTTAATGGTCATTCTGCCTCTCACACGCTCCCACACATTGTCCCTCGACCAGTTGAATTGAGCCGAGATTTAATTACTGTGCTTCTGCAGGGACAATGCATGGTGAGGATTAACAGGATTAGTGGTCTTCCTTTCATTTAGGTCCCCCATATTTAGGTCATGGCCTTACTACATGTAGACCTTGGCTCTTCTCGATATGAATGCTCCCTTAAATGGCAGTGCCTGAGCAGTTATGCAAACAATTACCAGCCATGTAATCAACCTAAAGATATCATTACTGGGTCAGAGATAGTAAAATGACCGTCTATTTATCTAAAGATATATTCCTGTGAAAAGTCAATCTTTGGCTCTAGTAGAGGGTAGCAAAAGTGAGGGGTTCTTAGTAGGCTGCTCACTATACACAGTCTCTCAGTCAAGTGTAGGGATGAAAGCTATCACAGAGGGTAGGGAATACCCCCCTTAATCACCAATCGCAAAGAATTAAAACAGATCACCAATCATGTATATATATTTTCAGGTCAATCACCAAAAATTCAGGCCAATTACCATATCATTCACGAGGAATTGAAAGCTATCACCATTCATCAAGATACAAATTTGCCGCACTTGCAGGAATGCAAAGAATTTATAACATTACCAGAATGAATTATTTCATGTGTTGAATGACAGGAATTGTCTGCTTAGAGATACTCAGCCATTCATTGGTCAGGATTCCCACGACAGAGACAAATACCCCGTTCACACTGCAGTCATTTAACCGGTTAAATAGCGAATTAGGTCAAGATTCGAATTATTGTGGTAGTCTGAACGCATGAGGATTTTTGTAAACCAGTTTCCAAAAATCCTACTAGCGAGCTGGATTCTCTCCAGCGATTCGGTTACTTTACCGGAAGGGCCACCTCTTTAGATCGCACTGCGCATGCACTAGCAAATCTCGCGGGAAAGAAAAGCAACATGCCAGGTCAGTAGACCCACACTTTCCAGCGAAACCCGGCTAGTCTCCTTCTTGTATCCGTCCAGTTCTTCCTGTTCTTACTAAAATCTTCCTCTGATGACTTTTGGGTTAAATTTGATGTTTCAAAAACAAACACACGAGAAAAAAAAACTGAGTGGGAGAAGAGCAATGATTGGCGCCATATTTTTGTTTTCATGGATTCTGCGCATGCACGATTCTTCAAACCGGAACCTCCACCTGAATTTTCAGTGCACGATTCGGTTTCCCTTTGCTGTGTGTGGCCAGACAACCGAATCGGATTTTTCACCCGTAATTCGCATTGCAACAATTCGGATATTTCAGATTGTAGTGTGAACGGGGTATAAGGCTATGATATATGTATTGAACTGGAAACTAGGGAAGTACTCACATTTCTACTTTTTGACCTTCCTTGTTTGAATTAAGAGTTTATTGAATTTATATCCAGTGAGTGATCGCCTTATGATCATGATGCAAAGTTCAGGACATTCTAGAACAAATTCCTGTAACGCTAATTAAACATTTAAACATTTAGACACGAATCACGTAGATTGGAAGGGTAAATTGCGAATCACGTTGATGAATTTGTACCAATAACGTGGAACAAAGAAGTTCCTGAATCACGTGTCACGGAGAATATTGGGCTCAAATAACGCATCACACTAGAAAAATAAGGTCAATCATGCGGAACACAAAAGTATTCCCTGCCCTCATCACAAGCATGTTATCAAAAGATTGTGTTGCAAGTGAAAAGTTTTTTTTTTTTTTCAGCAGTGTTGACAATACTAAACAGATAAACTTCCATTTGAATAACCTTCTGGTCTAGCTTGTCTATCTGGGATATTGAATTATTTGTTCAATCCTTATAACTTTGTATACATTACTGTGGTAACTGGTTTTATTGAGGTGTTATTGATAGCTAGGTGTGAGGTGATTTTCTTAGGCCCTATTCCCATAGATTTTAGATCAATCTATCCCCCCGGGGAGTCTCACTAGATTACTTTCAGATAATCCGACTTAAATGTCCGTCCCTCCTACTACAAGCTGTAAGGGGGTAATTAACTTTCGTGTCCGCCCGACTGACAGCTATTTAGCGTGAACCCCCAGGGAGTTAGGTCGATCTAAAGTAGGTCGATCTAATCTATGGAAATGGGGTGTTACTGTTCAAAGGATTTATTATGAGCCCTCAAGTTATTTGTACAATCTTTACCTGTGCAAACATTGTGCTTACTGAGGTTTGTTGATAACGAGGTTATTCACATATTGTTCAGTGGATGTAGTATGAATTAACCTACAGTTCATTTTCAGAGGTAGTTTAAAAATAGTATATATTGTAGTTATCGTATATTCAACCTATATAATTTGTTTGTAAACGTTGTTCGGATACATACATCTGTCTGGTAGCACAAGCATACCCGGTAGGTCCCAGACTGATACGTACCTGCCATATTGGTTTCATATCCGGGTTATCATATCGTCGTCATTCAGGTCAAGAGGTCAAGATCGAGATTTTAACACACCGTAACATAAACGTGTCACTCTTTATTTCCATTTTATTTAGTTACATGTACTATTAATAATTTTTGGATGAATACAAATACAGGAAAAAAAAAACATGCAATATAAAACCACATTTTAAAGTTATGTGCCTACCATTAAGTAATTGTGCTCCTAAGAATCGTGAGCACTTCATGTAAAGTCATTCTAAGCTTTTCATGTAAAGCAAGTGCAGGCCTCCTGGAGTATCTGACTTGAGAATATAGTTGATATTATGGTTTGAACAGCTTATTCAGACTTTAGTTATAGTGTGCCCCATACAATACAATACAATACAATAAAGTTTATGTCGGAAAGAATGAAAGTACAAACATTAGCTGAGTAGTTATTCACCGACAGCATAAATTAAATAATGATACATCGTTCACTTCCTGTTCATGGTACTACTATTTTTAACTACTTTTGATTAAAATTGCAATAGGAAAATAAGGCCTATGATACATGATTACAGCTGGCAATTGATAAAGTATTGAGACATCACTTGTGCAGATTTATTGTTATCTGTATTCGTTGCAGAGATATGACACTTAATTGCCCTTAGGTCCTCCCCATTTTTATGTACAGACACAGATGTGAAGAGTACTTATAATCCTGTCAAATTTAGTAGATCATGGTAAAAACTAGCATTGTCATTGTATACAAAATGAAAGCCCCTTTCCGTTTTTTTTTTTTTTTTTGTTCTATTTTTTTGTATTGGCTTCCCCGCAAAAATGCCACACAAGTGGGCAGTAATTAAAATTTTGACAGGGTAAAATTTTTGAATTTTCAAAGTTTATTTGGAACATGAGTTCAAATAGTTGCTCAAAAGGAGCATTCTCAAGTTCATCCTTAAACATATGAACATCAAAAATTATAAATTTTCTATATATGTTTTTCACTACATCTACGGGTACATACAACTTAGAAACTACATGTATCTTATGATTAAAATCACTCAGACCACAATCAAAGGCCCTTAACTGTATTTAAATATTTTCTGGGATGGTTACATAAAACAACATTATTATGGTAGGGTCTGTGGATTTAAAGCAAGTAGGCACAGTACTAATATTTCTTAGATCATAAATCTCACAGAACTGTTGTGAAAGTTCACCATTTCTATTCTCATGTTTCATATATAACAATTTAAATTACCAATTATTGCAACATTTTCACATTTACATAGGACTAAATCTACAAGTCTGTCTAGAAACATTTCAGGATTTGCACAAGGTGGTCTGTATGTTGAAAGAAAGCACCATTTACTATTACCTATATTTATGACTAGCGGTATAAGGCTGCGTTCACATGAAAAATCTATTTTCTAAAAATCTATTTGTGGTATCTTGTGATCACAGTCTGTGTCCTGAATACCCAGCGACAAGAATTAATCACAGCTTTGGAAGTAACTGGCTCACGCTAACCGTAATTAAGCTGTGGGGTATTCAGGGCAAAGACCGTGATCATAAGATACCGCAAATAGATTTTTAGAAAATAGATTTTTCATGTGAATGCAGCCTTTGTTCTATGTTTGGATATTCTATATTAGCTAACCTATGAGTATAAGGATTGAAGATAGAAAATGAACAATTACCCCTCCTCCTTTGTCATTGCTGTCTTTTCTAAACAAACTGTAGTTTTCTACCTTGACTTAATTGGCTATCAGGAAGAGATGAATCCAGCTTTGTTTTAGTAATAACCCCAGTCAGTAACATTTGTTTGTAAGATATATCTCAAGTTGTATAATTTGTTTGGCAGACTGTTCATATTCACATGATTAACAATGAAGTTTTTGAGGTGTTTTTTTCCTTTGTTGAAGAGAGATACATTTTGAAGGTCTGCCATGTTTGGAACTGTGTGAGCCCTTTCAGCAAATTCTTCGAGTTAGGAAGTTGTAAAACTATATTTTCACTCATTGATTGCACTTTTTTGCTTGCACCCATGAGTAATTTGGGAGTATCATCTCAAGTGTCTTTATTGACCCTACCTTCAATAATTGCCAACCTCGCTCAAGTATCCATCTCAGTATTTTACCATTTTATTGCGCCGCTCGGTTGTCAAGGTGTTCCTGCTCAAGCAACACAGGGTGACTCCCACTCTCCTTATCAATACCAACAATTATTGAACCGAGCAAATAATTTCTTCTTCTCCTTTCATATAACAAACTATAAATACTAAATTATTGGCAAAGACTATAATTTCATTTATAGTGCAATATATTTCGGAAGTCTCCCTTGCTAGAGCAGTAACATACGTGTGGTTGGCAGACATACATGCACCTTCGTCACTCAGCTCGCTGCGCACAATCATTAAAACACTCAGGGTATCACTGACCAATCGCGGGTCAACTCCTTAATACTTCATTGCAAGGTGTCCACCGTATGCGTCCAGCATCAGATCATTCCAAGCAACGGACCACGGAGTCACAGATAGAGAACAAGATGATCACCTCAATATAACACGCTTCAATACACGATCGGCAAAAAAAGTAAGAAACTTTATTTTAACCCACCAACCCTCCTTGTACATCATATAGCTACTACATCTGCTACTCTGCTATAAACATTGAGTGTAAGTACAGTGGTCCTAGGAGAGGTGTTTCTAAAGATCTATTTGCATTTAGCCTGCTGATCTTGTTTATCTAGGATATCGGGTTATAAACCACATATGCCACTTACCATAACAAACATTGCTTTCAGTTATGCTCTTTACTGGATGGATGAATTTTTATAGGTGTTTTGAAATTTTCTTATCGTTCAATGGATAAAATGTGGTGTTAATGTTTTTCATTGTAGCTTATATGAATATAAGGAAAGGTCCAAACTTCCTGCCTCACAGGCAAAAACATGTCTTTAAAAATGTTCAGTAGTCAGCAAATGTAGATCAAACATGTATAATATGTCACTGAGGCTATAAAATAACAATTGAACCTGAGAAACTTACCAAGAAAAGTTTCAGGAAGTGCTCTTTAATTCATTAATTTGCGCACGCATCAATATATACCTGGTAACTGCACTGTACACAATATTACTTGCTATTGTTAAAAGTCAGCACACCAAATTGTATATTGATATTTTATAATATTGGCAAATTCAGTAGTAAATGACGTGTCAAAATGAATGAACAAAAATGGAAAATATTTTTGTTTGCGGAACAAGGTAGAAACCACAAAATGGCGGTTCTACTAATAACGTAGCTTGTTATTATAAGATTTTGTGGAGTAATTTTCTTGAATACCTTGTTTTTTATGTACAGACACAGATGTGTCTGTACATATAGCCATCACCTGCGTCTGTCGTCGCCGTCGCCATGCACTCAGTGATAACACGATAAGTGGAATACCGTTTTACATTTTGTATTCAAATTTACAGAACTGATGAATATTCATAATCCGCAGGTGAAGTTCGAAAATAAACATGATCGGGCCATTTTTAGGGAAGTTATGCTGTTTTTTCACTTTTTTAGCATTATTTTAACACCGATAACATGATAAGTGAAAAACCTTTTTACTTTTTGGCTTGAAACTTATAAAACTGATGAATACTCATAATATGCAGGTCAAGTTCGAAAATCAGAGCTATCGGGTCAATTTTATGGAAGTTATGCTGTTTTTTCCCTTTTTTAGCATATATGCAGCACCGATAACATGTGTCTGTACATATTGCCATTACCTGCGTCTGTCGTCGCCGATGCCGTCGCCGATGCCGTCGCCGATGCCGATGCCGTCGCCGATGCCGTGCACTTTCCTTGTAAACACGATAAGTGGAGGACAGTTTTACTTTTTGGCTTTATATTTACAGAGCTGATTATTGTAGGGCCATTATTGTAGAACTTATGCTGTTTTTTCACTTTTCAGCATATATGCAACCCTGTTAACACATTTTAAGGAACACCGTTAGGCCTGTTGTCATGAAACTCACAGGAGTAATCAAACTTACTAAAACGCAGGTCAAGTTCGAAAATCGGCATGATCGGGCCATTACTTTAGAAGTTATGCTGTTTTTTCACATTTCCTCAGATTCAATTCTTAGGCATGTTAACAGTCTTATTATTTTACTAATAAGATACATAAAAGTGTTTGTTTGCCATTTCCTGAATCTTTACAACATTGTTAGTTGATTATGTAAAAATGATGGTAAACTTGTTATCGTGTATTGTGTAATAAAGTGTCAAAAATGGAAATAAACTCATATCATTGCAGTTTGTCAGATGCAATCATTCACTATGTTCAGAATCTCAGGATGGAGGAAATTGGACATTTAACACTGTTGTATTGATATTTTTCCCATCTCATCAATTTTCTTAGTTGATCGTATAAAAATGGCAGTAACCTGTTAATTTTGTTTATGTTAAAAAAATTGTTAAAAATGGAAAAAAAACATTTCAGAACAGTGCTGTCTTGTTTACATTTTGGCATTTTCAAGTTGTGACTTTGAAGTTCCATGGGCCTGAAGACCTTTGCTAGTCACATTTTCTGAATATCCATGATACTAATATTTTATTATTAAAAATTGATGGTCATTAAGCTGTTTAACATTATGTAATATTGCATCAAAATTTGAAAAAAACTTATTTTGGGCACTGCTCCCATATATGCAACACTGTAAACACAAAATAAGAAAAACAGATAGACCAATTGTCAGTAAACTCACAGGAATGGTCATTCCTGCTAAAACGCAGGTTGAGTTTAAAAATCAGCTTAATCGGGCCATTATTTTGAAGAAATGCTGTTTTTTCACATTTCCTCAGATTTAATTCTTAGGCATGTTAACATGCATGTTTCATTATTTAATTAGTAAGATCTTTACAACATTATTTGTTGATTATGTAAAAATGATGGTAAACTTGTTATCGTGTATTGTGTAATAAAGTTTCAAAAAATGGAAATAAACTCATATCATTGCAGTTTG